AATATAGATACGTGTTTAAGGTGAAGACATGAAAGACCTAGAGTCTGTCATACAGAGGGAAGTAAGTCAGAAAGAGAAAAACAAATACCGTATGCTAACACATATATATGGAATCTAAAAAAAAAAAAAAAGGTTCTGAAGAACCTAGGGGCAGGACAGGAATAAAGATGCAGATGTAGAGAATGGACTTGAGGACACGGGGAGGGGAAGGGTAAGCTGGGACAAAGCGAGAGAGTGGCATGGACATATATACACTACCAAACGTAAAATAGATAGCTAGTGGGAAGCAGCCACGTAGCACAGGGAGATCAGCTTGGTGCTTTGTGACCACCTAGAGGGGTGGGATGGGGAGGGTGGGAGGGAGGGAGACGCAAGAGGGAGGAGATATGGGGATATATATATGTATAGCTGATTCACTTTGTTATAAAGCAGAAACTAACACACCATTGAAAAGCAATTATACTCCAATAAAGATGTATAAAAAAAATAAAGACAGAATTATCAGGTGTGTTGCTACTTGCTTGCTTCAGTTTCATTAGCTTTTAAGCTTTTAAACACTAGCTGCTAATAGTTTGGGTGATTATAACTTTTGGCTTAAGTTTATATCAGTGGCGAGGAACAAATAAATACGCTTAAGGAACACTTCTGTTGCTTTCTTCTCTGGCTCCCCAGTAGGGGGAATATACAGATGAATAAAGTCGTGGATCTGAAGGAAGACCATGCATTCTAGTATAAACAGGCAATCCCAGCATAAAGAGTAGAAGATAATACATTCTGTGAAAAAGGAGAGGAAAAGAGCTGTGGAGGTTAAGAGCAAGGAAACGATCTTTTACATTTATGCTGCTCAAATAGAGGTTTGTAGAGGAGGTGACCTTCGAAATGGGTCTTGAGGGTGAGTGGTTTGGACATGATTGGGAATAGACGTGCTAAGCAGACGAAACATCATGGTTAAAGATATGGAGGACAGATCAAATAATTCAGTGTGACATCAGAACAGGTTATTTAATGGAATGTTATTAATGTGAGACTGATTCATTTAGATTTTATTTTACAGGCCAGGGTTTGGTAGACTATGGACTGGCCCAGGCTCTTTTTTGTAAATAGTTGTATTGGAGCACAGCTATGCTCAATTATTTGCATATTGCCTATGGCTGCTTTGTACCACAATGGCAGAGTTGAGTCATTCAGCAGAGACCATATTGCCCTCAAAGCCTAAGGTATTTTCTGTGAAAGGCTAGATAGTAAATATTTGCTGAGTCCTGCTTTAGACCATAGTGGAGAACCACCGATTCAGTCAGGGGACTGGCACGGAATAGTTTTCAGGAGAGTTTGTCAGACAGTCCTTGTTAGAAGTGGGGAGGAAGGTGGGTGATGTGGAGGCTTGTAGGGTGTTTGAATTAATCTAGTCCAGTGACTTCTAGTGGGAGTAGAGAGGCTTTAAATTCTAAATAGATTAAGTAGATGGAACCAATGCGATCTGGAAAAAGATTTGATGAGACAAGCCTTGGAAAGGGAGGAGGGAAGGCTGAGTGAAAGATTTTCAGCTTGGGTGACTGTATGGTTGCTGGTGCCACAGAAACAGGGAGCACAGAAGGACAAACACTTGTAAAAGTTTCAATGACCTGTTAGAGCTAGAACACTGACGTGTCTGCTAGAGGACTCAATATGACCACATGAGGTTTCTACCTTATGGTTTTTGCAGGACCCAGGAATATTTACCACAGTTAGCTGTGGAAAGTTTTATTTTATTCTTCATATTTAAATGGACCGATTTACTATGAGAATTATTTTTATGACTGTTGTGCATTTTTTAGGAAGTTTGAGCTTTTGGGTTGTTGTGGCTAAAATAATTTTAAGTAGAAAACCTTTCTTGCTCTTTGAAAAGTTAAATCGGTTCAAAGAACTTTCCTGAAGTACTTAAACACAGAAACAGCAATGCTACTAGAAGAAAACGGGAACATTTCAGCGACCTTCAATTTTTATTCAAAGTCAGATCCTCATTTGAATTACATGAAGATAATTTTTGCCTTTTACATTTTGCTTTACAGGAATTGCTTTTTGTTTGTAAAGGTAATGCCTGCTTATAAAATACTAAATTATAAGAGCACAAGTTGCTAACACTCCTTCTCAAGCTACTGACGTCTGCTAGTAGTTTGAGCTATACTGTGGAGATACTATATCCTTTGCCAGGATTACAAAGACAAAACAATCACTTTGCCAACTGTGCATTTATAGCTTTGAATACATGATGCTACCTACAAAATATCTGAATCAATTTGGTCCAAGTCTCCAATCATATGATTCTCTGACATAATGAACTCTCTTCATCCATCTCTCCAGACAATGTGTTGGTGTTCCTCTGCAACTTGCCAGGCAGTCTCTGCCTCACAGGGTTTGCTTTGCTTGCCTCACCGCTCATGGCTCACTTACACGTAAAACTGGTCTTATTTGCTAATCTTCAATATTAAAAAAAATTATATTGGTGACTAGTAGTCTTGAGGAAAATATCCCTGTTAGAAGGGATACGATTATCCTAGGAGACAAAAATCTAAAGTGATCATACTGATGAAATCAGTTGTACTTATAAGAAAAAAAGAAACTTGTTGTATTTATGTAAATATCATTTTGTGAAGTCAGATTAATTCAGTTTTGTAAATAAACAGGGAGGGAAGAGTTGGCTTGAGGTTTTAGTCAGAACAGATTTATTCTGATTTAAAATTTATCTTAAAATGTATGTGTATTTGGCTAAAAATAAAGTTGTTTAAAACTACAGACTGGTGTAAACTTAAAAGTGAGTTTTTCTCCTACCTCTTGTTTCCTCAGTCCCTTTCCTATAGTAACAATAATGTTAATTTTGTTAACTTTTTTGAGAGATTATAATGTGTCAAGTATTGTTCTTAATTTTTTATTTTTAACAATAACTTGATGAGATAGGTACTACTTTCCCCCTTATTTTATATGTAAAGAAACTAAAACATAAAGAGTTTAAATTACTAACTTGTCTGTGGTTACTCAGATAGCAAGTGACAGAGCTGGAATTAGAAACCCAACTGGCAGACTTCAAATTGTACGCACTGAGTCACTTTATGATTATGTTATTAATAGTATTAAAAATTTCCTGCCCATTGATCCTAGAAGAAAGAAAAAACTATATGCCAAAAAGTGTATCTATGTACACATATATCAATATATGTTTTAGTTTTGAAGTTATTTTTTGTAACTGAAATAAAAAGCAATGATAAAATTTAAATTCTCTAGAACAATTTAAAATGAAAAAAAATAGTCTATCTCTCTGACTCCAACTTTACGTTTACTATTTTTTAAAAAATTCGCTAGGCATAATTACTAAATTTAGTTGCACGTTAGCAACATTTTAATCCTCTTTTAAAAAAAAAAAGATTGAGAAATGGACTGTCTGGTGAGGACGTGTATACTTGTGAAGTCTGGTTCTTTAAGGGAAAAAAAGAGAGAGGAAACAGAGGGTAGGCAGCTTCCTTTTTAAAGCACAAGACCTGGAGACTGCAGGAACACACTAGTTCCACTCGCACTCCGTTGGACAGACTTGGTCATGTGGCCACATGGCTTCAGAGTAATCTTTAGCCATGTGCCCAGTTATCATGAGGGATTCCATTGTTAAAATAAAGGCATAGGAATGCCTTTGGGGGCATATGGGGGTCAGTTAGCATCTCTGCCATAAGTGTAAACTTACGCTATTCTCGCTAAGCTAATTTTTTAAAGTTTCATTGGATTTTTACTTTTATAGAGATGAGAAATAGTCTTTTATTTTGATAAAATAATTCATATATAGAAAGTTATTAAATGTTGCCTGATGCATTACTACTGTCCTAGCATATTAACAAACTCCTTGAGAGCAAGTCTGGCAAAGGCATGTGGAACAGCCTCCTTACTCCCCAATTCAGATATCACAGCAGTGCATTTGGACTAGTGGCTATTAGGAAGACCTGGTGCTGAATTAAAGAGCATTAGTGGGACTTCCCTGGTGGTGCAGTGGATAAGACTCCACACTCCCAATGCAGGGGGCCCGGGTTCGATCCCTGTTCAGGGAACTAGTTCCCACATGCATGCCGCAACTATGGAGCCTGCCTGCCGCAACTAAGACCTGGCGCAACCAAATAAATAGTAAAAATTAAAAATATAAATAAAATTTAAAAAAAAACAGAGCATTAGTTTACTCTTCTTGTTTGCCACCTGGGATGTCAAGTCATTAAATTATTATCTTTGGAAACCTTTGGTTTTGAGGTACTCTGATGTTAAAAAAAGTTGCAAAAGAATTTGTAGTTGTAGCAAGAATTATAAGAATTATTCTAAGAATTATAATAATTTCATATTATAAGTCATTGTGATTCTGTGGATGAACTATGAGGAATAAAGTCCCCAGAAAAATCAGTGAAACTATACATTTCATTTTTTACATATTTTTTTCAAGTGTATTGAGCTTTAAAAAATGCACTTGTCCATATACTTTTATTTTCGGATTTCAGGCTAAATAGTGATTCAAATATAAATTTATATTGATGACATTTAGTAGGTAAACACATTTTGTAAAAGATAAAGAAATCTTCAGAAATTGTAATGGATGGGTACAAATTAGATAGAAACATTAGGCAGTTACAATGGCAGCTTCTGTCAATGATTGTGTTTATATTATGTTATACAGCAAGTTACTGATTTTTAACATTTCAACACTGTTTTAGAATTTTGATTTTGGAGAGTAAGTGATTATTGAAAAATATTAATGCTAAATAAAAAAGCTGTCGTTTATTTGGATTTCATTTGCCAATGTAATGTAAACACTAATAATTTAATACAATCCATATAATTTAAGTTGAGGGAAGCTTGTTTGGTTTACTCTGTAAATAGTTGGTATTAATCCTGTGTTGGATTCTAAATTCTGACTTTTGTTAGAGACTGTTTCTTGGTTTATATGTCTAAATTCTGGCAACTATATTTTAAAACTTCTTTTTTCCCTCATCAAACAGCTTTAATGTTATATTTGCTGGTGGTCCAGAAGAAGTTCTAAAAAAGTTCCAAAAGTCAAACCACAAAGTGGTCTTTGCAGCAGATGGAATTCTGTGGCCGGATAAAAGACTAGCAGACAAGTATCCCATTGTGCACATTGGGAAACGCTACCTGAATTCGGGAGGTGGGTAAGGTGCTGGAAGAAAAGCGTAATGCAAGACATAGTAAATTATAAATATTGATGAAACAACCTTTTTAAAAATATGTAACTGTAAACATGAGGTTTGAAATAACCATTATCTTCTTTTCCTATGGGAAAATTATATCAGTTTAAAATCCAGGGCTTCCCTGGTGGCGCAATGGTTGAGAGTCCGCCTGCCGATGCGGGGGACGTGGGTTCGTGCCCCGGTCCGGGAGGATCCCGCATGCCGCGGAGTGGCTGGGCCTGTGGGCCATGGCCACTGGGCCTGCACGTCCGGAGCCTGTGCTCCGCGACGGGAGAGGCCGCAGCAGTGAGAGGCCCGCGTACCGCAAAAAAAAAAAAAAAAAAATCCACAGTGCATTTTAAAGTTGACAAAGCATTTTTCATCTGTTATATCATATGATACTCCTAACAACACTAGGCGGTGTAAATGTTATTATTTCTGCATTATAAGTGAGAAAACCCATGTTTCCCCGATTTAAGTGTCTTTTCTTAGAGACATTTAGTTATTAAAGGAAAAACAACAGGGATCCATGTCTTCTGACTATAATTTCATTAAGAATTTCCTGGCTCTAGAATAATGGGCTCAGTAAATTCCCTTACTTAGGAAAAAGTGCAAGTTACACTCATGTAGCTTTAAAAAATAGGCATTACTTAATTTTATCTATATTTTAAATGTATTGGAGTAAATTATTTATCTTGAAATCCCTAGTCAAAAAAAAATTCAACATTGAGTGTCTAGGTGTACTTTAAGTACTGCATTAGCTATGCCACCATAGATTAAAGGAACAAATTATCACATTTCCCTCTTTCCTTCAAAAAATAAAATAAAATTTGACTTTGGACCTTATTATAACTCCAAAATGTTTTCCTTAGATTGTGAATAATATAAACACATGGCCAGAAGACATGGCTGTAGGATGGGGGACATGTCAAAGAAACAAGTTGGGTGGAAATTGCAAGCCACACTGGGAAAACAGATTTTGGGGTAATTTATATATAATAACTGATTGTATTCAGGTCAGTTCAAATAAGTGCTGCTTGAGATATCATCATGTCTGGAATCTAGACTTTGATCAGTTACTTTTGTCAATGAAACTTTCAGCAAGTAATTCCCTTTCTCTGAGATGCCACAATTACAGCCGTACTCACCTGCATTTTACTTTAGCAACCCATTTCCATATGGTACCTTGGAACTTTGTCAACCCACATAAATATCACATTTTTGAAACCTCAAATCCCAGTGTGTACTACCTAGTTTCAGCTCACTTTTTCTCTTCATCTCCATATGTTTTTAAAAAGTTCATAGTTTGGGGGATCTCCTGACCATTTTATTTTTCTCCTAATTTATCTACCACCTTTGGATTTTACTTCAATATTCAAGACAGAACCCAGGGTTTCTCATATTGGTCACTTTGTCCTCAATATTTTAGCAGTCCTTCCTTTTAGATTTACAGTAGAGATGGCTGCCCACTCTTGACTTTTCTGAGCAATTGAATTGGGAATGAGTGCAGCTTCCATCTCCAACTGTCAGACCCTCAGTGACACATGGCTAACCTTTTAACTTATCCTAAGCCCTAGGTAGTTTAAGAGCCGCTTAGCTATGGAACTCTGAGATAAGTTTTACTTTGTATTTATTAGTTTTTCTAAACATGTAGAGTGAAATACATCATATGTAAATGTATCTAGATAACGATATATCTGCTCCAGAATGTGAATCTCAAACAGATGCACAATACTGTGGAAACAGCAAAAAACTAGCGAGTGCCTTTGTGAGCAAGTTTAGTTAAGGAGGAAGGTGTTTATATGTGGGAAAGTGATCATACAAGGACATCAAAACGTCATCCTTATGCCCTCTGTAGTCAAAATAATTAAAGAAATGCTAGAAAATCTAAGTATGTTCAATAAAAGTTTGTGTAAGTTTATGAATGATATATTGAGAGTTATTTAAGAGACATGAGTTTTGTTTGTGGGTACCTCATTTGGTTAAAAAAAATCTTTATCATGGAGAGTAAACATGTTTCCTTATGAGGAAAATTGCATAATATTAGAAACTTAATTCTTTTGAAATAATATGACAGTTTAATAGAAAAATGTAAATCATACAATATATATCATATACTATGAAAATAGATGTAATTCCTTTTCACTTTTTAGGACACTTGGGATTTATGAAACAGATAAGGAAACATAGTTTTTGAAAAACAGTCGTATAAACCATTGGAAAATATCACGTGTTGCTTCTTGAATATGTTTTTTATCACAAAAGATTGGTTATAAGAATTAAAAAATACATCTTTTTCAGTGTTTTGGGATTTTTTTATTTGGCAAAAATGACACAAAAAACTGAGCCACCAGTGATTGATTTAGTCATGTTTTCATTTTGTCTTGTTTTCTCTAGTTAGCAATAATATTCCTTGACCTATTTCTTTTAATTCTTTTATTCCTATGAGGACATTTTAATTTTGAGGGTAACAAACTAGGTTTCCTTTCGATTCACAGGAATAAAATTGGTCCTTTTAAAAAAGTACTGCATATCAATGAAGCATAGCAGTTTGGCTGCATTTCTGAAATTCAGGGGAAGACTCAAACACAGGAAAAATGATCTTGTTTTCTGTGTCTTTTACAGACAGCTGTTGTTGGCATATTTAATGCTTATGCCCTAAGGCCAAGGTGAACAATCCAATTTTAGACTTCCTTTCTCCAGACCATGACACACAAAACCCAGCCAGAAAATGGTTTAGCAAACACACTACTGACTAGCTCAGTGAAGGAAAAATTCCCCAAATGTCCTAGATATAAACTTTCTTTGGGATGTTTGCAGTCAGTGAGAGATCCAACATTCCTTTGATTGCATACTAACATTAAAACCACTGTAGTAGAGTTGTTTTTTTTTTTTTCCCAGAAACAGTGAATCCTTTACAAAGGATCTAGGAACAGCATTTTAGAAGGTCAGAAAGAAAAGTCTTCTGTCTAATTCTAATTTTTTCCTAGTAACTCTTTTTTTCCCTTATAAGCCTTCTAAAACATTAGTTCTCCCTCTTGTGTCAATTAATTTGGGGAATACGTTTATTCAAAGAGTCTTTGATTTTGCAATTGGTAGTAAAAACTTCCTCTCTTGTAGTTTATATATGGAAACAAAGGATACCCAATAACTCATATTTCTGTCATGGTGAGCTGTGAAATTCAAAATTAAGGATTAGAGCTTTACAAGTCTGTGCGACTGGTCTATAAAATTAACATAGACATGAGTTTCAGTTTTTGAATTCTGAATCTTTTATTCTTTCTCTTTTGTATTGCAGGATTTATTGGTTATGCTCCATATATCAACCGTATAGTTCAACAGTGGAATCTCCAGGATAATGATGATGATCAGTTATTTTATACTAAAATTTACATTGATCCATTGAAGAGGGTAGGTAATAGCTCTCACTTTCAGTGTAACTTCCTTGTTGAAATGGCTACTGGTGCTCCAGCCATTGCATCCATATTCTGGGCAGTTAACAGGCAGAATAGTAAATAAAGGGCCATTTCAGTTGTGTCAGTGCTCTCTAAGTAGCTTATCTAGAAGTCTTACAAAATACTCTCTCATACTTTTCTTTGACCAGAGCATATTTATTTGGTCACATAAAATATGCAAAGGAGTTTTGTTCTTTATTTCAAGTACATGTGTCCTACTAAAAATCTGAATTCTCTTATTAACGGGAGAAATGTTGGGGACAATAGCAGCCTGCCGTAAACCCTAAGGACAATATTCCTGAGACTGGTTTAAATGAAACTTTGGAGAAAAGTAAAAACAAAGTTCTCTAATTTGATAATATTTTTAGTATATTCACCTAGTGTAAGTTAATGTTTCATAAGTTTACTATGTATAACCAGTACAGTTCTAAAATTTACCGAATTGTGTATTTCTAGGTGCTGTCATTAGGAAACATGTGTTTTTTTACATATATTTTACAGTGAGTTTGTAACTGTAGCTGCTGCTTTTTCTTAGATAAATACTCCAGTTATCTATATATTTTCATTAGATACTTCTTAAGAAACTGTATTCTTTAAATGTTTGTTTTTCTTCTCTCCAGTTTTTTACTGTCTCTACGTGCCTGGCACTGCCAGCCTGAGGACTTGGTTTCTAATCCAAGAGCAGAAACCTACTCTTGGCATGAGTGCTAGCCCATGCAGCTTGATGCTTGTCTTTCTGAGTGTAATTCAACAGTGAAAGTGCTCTGAGTCTTATTTAATTGTTGTTGCTTTAGGATGCTTCCTCTGAAATATCACTGCTGGGTCTGTAATATTTTTTGTTGTGTAAATCCTATTTAAGTTTTTCTCTAAGCATAAGATTTTATCTGGTTAGCATGTGTCTTAGTCTGCTTGGTTTACCATAACAAAATATCATAGACTGGGTGGCTAAAATAACAGAACTTTATTTTCTCACCATTCTGGAGGCTAGAAGTCTGAGATCAGGGTGCCTGAATGGTTGGTTTCTGGTGAGAGCTCTCTTCCTGGCTTATAGACGGCAGCCATCTTCTTGCTGAGAGACAAGAGACGAGAGACAGAGACAGAGGGAGGGTTAGGGCTTGAACATAGGAATTTTGAGGGAACACAAAAATTCAATCCATAACAGCGTGCAAAGACAATTTTAGGAGTATTATTATGACAGAGCAATGTAGCTGAAAAACTACATTGAGAGTAAGATTAATCTTTATGATTAAAGATTAAAGCAGATTAATCTTTATGATTAGGTTTGATTAATTATAAACCTATTGTAGCAGTCAGGGAGGTTATGCTGCATAATAATAATCCCCAACCTCAACAGCTTAACATAACAGGGGTCTTTCTGAAGAAGGTTGCTATAATAATTTATGTATAGGATCTTTAAATTCCCTAAAAAAACAAACTATATTAACATGATAGTGTTGTTTGCTGTTTTTATTGTCATTTTTAATATTTTTTCTATTCTCATTTTTAGGAAGCTCTTAACATCACACTGGATCACAAATGCAAAATTTTCCAGACCTTAAATGGAGCTGTAGGTATGCTTCCTAAATACTGGGTTGCTCATGTGTGCAAATGAACACCTGTGTTTTCAACTGTCTGTCTTTTGTTATATTCATTTGGGGCTATGACTAAGATTGATGTGTAGGTATTGCAGCTTTTAAAAAACATTGTACTCAAGCTGAGCTTGATATAAATACTTTCAGTTAAAATGATTTCCTAAGAATAGTACGAAGAGATGCTTCTGCCCTTAGGTAACTTAGACTTTAGTATCTCACCATCTGGGGACTGTAGATATAGTTTTGAATTAATTACACTTTGTTATTACACGGTTTTCAGTATCAGCTCTTTACATTGTGAGTTACTCAGGAGTATTAGAGTATTTTAACCTAGGTTAAAGATAACTGGTAACGAGACATGTACACTGTGGAGTGAGTGTGTGTGCGTGTGTGCATGCCTATATGTGTTTTCCTGATAGACATGTATCTTGATAAAAATACATTAACAAATTAAATTTAATTAATTGATACATTAAAAATAAACATACATTAATGCATTAATATCTCAGAAATTAAAAATACATTGCAGTTCAGTACAGTTCTTCAAGGCAGATCATAAGTAAAGAGATTCTTAGAATGAATGGAAGGCATTTAGTTTGGAGTGCTCTGGAAATGTGAGGAAAGGAACTTGAAAACAAAAAAAAAATGTTTCTGCTCTCATGTGACTTGTATATTCCTGGAATTTACATTAGGCCTGATTTTCAAGAGCTGGAAATACTATCAGTGATGGCCAGTTTTAGAAACCTAGCTTATGCCTGGCAGTTTTCTATTTGCCATACATATATTGTTATTATCTTTATAATAACCTAGAAAAGCAGGCAAGAATCCCATTTTATAGATAAATAAATTGAGACAGTAATTTAATTCATCTGGGATTATGTCACTCTCAAAAGGCAGAGGCAGTACTGCAAAGATGCTTTCCTTCCACCAAGACCCGTTGGTGTCTTAGCACCTCAGTTTGCCAGCACCAGGTTGGAGACAGTCAGGTGCTCAGAATCCATATCTGTGTCAATGTTGTCCTTCATTTTGGATATCTGCTGACTTGGAGCAGGCCAAGTCTCCAAAAGTGTAGCACATGGAATAGCATGCATGAGAAATTTTATAACAAAAACAAGATGTATAGATATATATATATATACATTATATGTATATATGAATACATACACACACATTTTAAATTACTAAAATCTGTCTTTTTAACCCAGATGAAGTTGTTCTGAAATTTGAAAATGGCAAAGCCAGAGCTAAGAATGTGTTTTATGAAACATTACCAGTGGCAATTAATGGAAATGGACCCACCAAGGTGAGTCACAGTGACCATTCTCTGTTTCCTTATTTCTTGGAGGTAGATTATGGAGCAATATATAGAATAACTTCTTCTCCTCCCCCTTTCACTCCTTCCCCTCCTTCTTTAATATCTTTAAGAGGCTTGGTAAACAACAAGATCCTGCTGTATAGCACAGGAATCTGTATTCAATATCCTGTGATAAACCATAATGGAAAAGAATATTTTTAAAAAAGAATGTTTATATGTGTATAACTGAGTCACTTTGCTGTACAGCAGAGATTGGTACAACATTGTAAATCAAGTACACTTCAATAAAAAGAAATTTTAAAATATCTTTAAGAGGTTTTATTTTGGTGCCGACAATTTACTAGTTTCATCTTTTACACAGTGTATTATCTGGTTTCGTTTAGATTAATCAAACTGATGATTTTTCCTCAGCAGATGGATAACTTTCTATTCTATTTGTAGCACATTCCAGTTTAGTGTTTAATGTACTAGCTTACTTGAGAGTGAGCCACATTTCCCTCATACAGAGTATCCTCTCTGAATAAGAAATGTTGAGGTTTGTAAGGGATCATTTGTTTCACCTGAGTCACCGTTGTCAAAGTTAATAGCTCTCTTAACGTTGGGGTGTAACTGTAGGTCCAGGATGCTTCCTCTTGCACTTATTCTATAACAAGGTTGATGGATTATAGTTGACAAAGATATGATTTGTCTAATGAAATGTTATGTGCTTTTGGAACATGTATAATTGAGCTTGCTGACAGTGTTACTGACTGCAAAATTTGTAATAAGATTGTATCGCCGGAACCTAATTAAAATAGAAAATGAATTGTTATATATACATATAAGTATATATACACGTATATACACACACATATATACACACAAACATACACATATATGTTTAGTAATACAGTGCTTAAAACAATGTTCTGAGATAATAAGATGATGCCTGGCTTACTCATAAATACCTAGAAAAGAGATTACCAGATAAATTTGCATTGTGGGAAGAGAGGATGGGGAGATGGGGTCTGCTGTTTCAGTGGAGTGAGTAGCCTGAATTCCAATAAAAGCTATCTGCATGGGAAGACATTCAAGGAAAAGCCCACACTGGCAGCTTTTCCACCATAAAAATGGAGGAAGTAGATTCCCCTTCTCTAGTTAATCTTTCTACCTTGCTTTTCATCCCATTCCAGCCCTCCTACAGAGCCTTCCCAGTGGGCTCCTTTTTCTGTCTGGTAGCAGTTTTCCCAGCTCTAAGTCTCATCAGCATTTTAAAGACCCTCAAGCCTTTCTTATCCTAGAAACCCAGCCAACACAAACTGCAACATCCTTTTCAATCTACCTTGCCTCCCAGCCTGCCTGCCTTTTTCCCTCCCCTTCACAGCCACACTCTTTAAAGTAGAGACGAGTCACTGCTACCACTATTCCTCTTCCCATCACCCCCAGGAATGGCTCCTGTCAAGGTCTGTTGTGACATCCTTGTTGAGTAGCAGACACTCATCAGCCCTCATTTCTCTTTCATCCAAAGATAACATTTGACGATGTTCATCCCGTTTGGTCCAATTTGAAATACTTCCCTTTGCTTCCATGATGCTCTGCTGGTTTCTCTAATAATTTTCTGGCCTTTTCAGTCTCTCTCTTTCTCTTTCTTTTTTTAATATACATTTTTAAAATTTAACACTCTGTGTGTGTAGGGGGTTTCAGGGGTTGGGTGATCCTCTTCCTGCATTTTTTTTTAACATCTTTATTGGGGTATAATTGCTTTACAATGGTGTGTTAGTTTCTGCTTTATAACAAAGTGAATCAGTTATACATATACATATGTTCCCATATCTCTTCCCTCTTGCATCTCCCTCCCTCCAACCCTCCCTATCCCACCCCTCCAGGCAGTCACAAAGCACCAAGCTGATCTCCCTGTCCTATGCGGCTGCTACCCACTAGCTATCTGTCTTAGGTTTGTTAGTGTATATATGTCCACGCCTCTTTCACTTTGTCACAGCTCACCCTTCCCCCTCCGCATATCCTCAAGTCCGTTCTCTAGTAGGTCTCCTGCATTGTTTTAGTTAAGTGTTCTGCAGGTGTCTGTCTGAGACATCTTTCCTTTTCCCAGCTACACGCATTCTTAGGTAATCCGCTTCATTCCCAAGTCAGCAGTGCTGATTATTTTCAAATCCTTGCTGTAGCGTCTATCTTTCCTGAGCTGTGGGTGTGAATACCCAGTTGTTGGATTTATCTGTGTGTCATACAAGACCTGGAGGTCAGAACCTTCAGCTCTGCCTCTCCTTCCACCCACTTGATTAACCAGAACCTGGGTTTTGTTTTGACCGTATTTACCTCCCATTCCCAATCCAAAAGACATCCTTTCTAACTCCCATGCATGGTGGTTTGTCTAATTTGCTTAGAGTCAAGAGCAACCTCCTTAGTTCAAGCCACCTGCAACCTCCCACCAGTATCAATCACCCACTAGCAGTCTGGAACTCGACTATTCTGCTGAAGCAGAAACCCAGTTACATTACTCACCTGTGTTATGCCCTCTATAGACTTAGGTATGAAGTTCCACATTCTCAACTTGGTTATTTTTTTGTTTTTTTTTGTTTTTAATTTTGCTTCTGGTTTAGGGGTCCCAAGTCTACCATCCTATCTACTCCCCCACTCCTGATACTGTAGTATGTATACAGAATATCTCATTCTCAATTCTCTCCCTCAGCTCCTGCCATACTGAGTTAATTTGAACTTTGTAACTGTTTCATGTGTCCTCTGTCTGCAAGTCTTCTGTACATGCATTTCACTCATTCTGGAGTCCTCTGACCTAATTCCCACTTGCTGTACCCATCTATTAGTGCTTTTCATCTTTTAGGTGTCAACTTTGCTTTAACTCCTTAAGTCTCCTGAATGCCTTTATATCTGGAACTTTGTCCATCACAGAACATAATACCACACGTTGAACAGGGATGGAACTGAACTTTTTTTTTCTTTCGTCTCTTACTGGGTCTTTAGCCTAGGAATTACAGAAATCATATCTATCCTGTTCACTTTTTGTTTTGCCAGGGTCCAGCGCATGTGTAGCATATATTAGCCTTTCAATAAATTGTGATTGAATGTCAGAGTCTATAAATAATCTAATGACCTAGCATTATTCTTGGGAATGGTGAGGTAGATTTTCTTCTGGCAGGGCAAAATAGTCATAAAATTTCTTTGGGTTCCTGTAACTGTCCCTAGGCAGGTAAATGGACTTTTACAACTGGACATCTATAACTAAATAGTGTGCTATTTCTCCTTGGTAATGTAATATTTTAATCAAATTTAAATGTCTTTAAAGAGGGTGCTTGGTCACAATTTAGTTATTGTGAGTGATATTCAGTGATTCCATTGTTTTCACCAATTTTTTCCAAATTTCCAGGATAATGTGGATAGGAGTTTTACAAAGCGATTGAAAGACTTCTCATAAGAAAAGAAGCTCTAGTCCTCAGTCATTTAGAAAGACCTGTGTGTACTAAGAAATTTTAAGTCTTCCAAGAAACATTTTCAGTTTGGGCTATCACTGTTTCCGGCATTTCAAGCAGTATGATGATCCTATTATATTTCCTGTGACATGATTTTATGAATCTATTTGGCAATAAAAATGAAGTAATTTTTTTATTGTAAAAATTATGTTTGGTATAATATAAAATCTGAGAAAGAATTATATAAATAAGCATTCAACTAATGCTAATACTTTAGGAATATGTTAAAGTTAAATAATATCATATTTTCCTCTGTGTTCAGGATAATGAGGAAAGAAAGCAGATTACTCATTTTAGGTATACCCTTTTTATTTAACCATCATAAAAGATGAAAGGATTTTTATATGATATTTTGTAATTTAACTTATTATTTTATTTACTAAGAGATGATTATAATGTCAGTAAGTCATAACCTTCATCTGAATGTTAATATTTAAGCCATTTTCTTATTTAAAAGTATACATAGTCTGAAAAAAATATAATCTATAAATGATAAATTGTTTATAATGTGTTTATAGACAAAAGTATGTAAAGGTGAGTTTATTTCTTAGTTACTTTCTCTAAATCTCATGCTATTAGGAATAACAACTTTTAAATTATAAACAGTTTTAAAAATCACTTATAATCCCACTACCTTCTCATATTGTTTTCATTCATAGTTGCTTTCAGTATTTATGTCCTTGTGATATATAGATATGAGCATTCATATTTTTCATTTGTTTTCATAATGGTGTATAAACAATTTTGTGCTTTTTAATTAACATTTTATTTGAAATACGTTTTTAATTCTACATAATTATTTTCATACTTGTCTAGATACAATGTAATATAAATCGGCTTTTAGATAGAAACCATGACTCCTGGTTTGAAATTTTACTTTTTATTCTTGAAACTTATTTACTGTTAGTAACACATCATAAGATTTGAATATTTGAATACCTAACTTTTTCTTTTAAGTATCAGTCATTATGAGATTGGTAGTATTTTTTTAAACATCTTTATTGGAGTATAATTACTTTACAAGGGTGTGTTAGTTTCTGCTTTATAACAAAGTGAATCAGTTATACATATACACATATGTTCCCATATCTCTTCCCTCTTGCATCTCCCTCCCTCCCACGCTTCCTATCCCACCCATCTAGGTGGTAACAAACCGCCAAGCTGATCTCCCTATGCTATGCAGCTGCTTCCCACTGGCTATCTATTTTACGTTTGGTAGTGTATATATGTCCATGCCATTCTCTCATTTTGTCACAGCTCACCCTTCCCCCTCCCCATATCCTCAAGTCCATTCTCTAGTAGGTCTGTGTCTTTATTCCCGTCTTACCCTTAGGTTCTTCATGACCTTTTTTTTTTTTTCTTCTTAGATTCCATATATATATGTTAGCATATGGTATTTGTTTTTCTCTTTCTGACTTACTTCACTCTGTATGACAGACTCTAGGTCCATCCACCTCACTACAAATAACTCAATTTCGTTTCCTTTTATGGCTGAGTAATATTCCA